GTCATCGGTGTGTTTGAAAGTTTGAAATGCGTTCATCACACACAGACCATGCAGCACGCGCACTTCACGCATGCACGGTCGCAAACGTTCAACCCGCACTGTATGGTACAACCCAGATGTTTGTGTCCGCGTTTTCCGAATCTTCACTGCGCGCAAGTACATGTATACTCGTGTCCTATCCAGTCTTACTAATGGAGATCAGTGTGTACAATGTAAAGAAATTTCCTCTGAGAAAGATACCGCCAGGATCAAAAGTTACATGTGTCCTTTAAAGGTGATACAACATTTGCTTTTGCTGTAATTTTCAGAAATGGATGGATTTGGGGGTTAGCAGTTTATAGCAAATATTGTTACACTGACCAGTTTAAAGTTTTGTATTCATAGATGCTATGCTGAAAAAAATTGTAGTCTGGTTCCCTGACCCTACTTAAGGCAAAACATAGAAATTTATAGACATGGGGAATCGTCAGGTCAGGGAACCAGACCAGCTGCCTTGCACCAATTCACGACTTCATGTGTAACCGATTGCAAAAAAAATGCGGACTAACTTAATTTGGTAAATTAGGGGCAGTATTTGAAAAAAAAGTTTTTTCCCAACAATGGTCAGCCGAACCATCGTTGGAAATTGATACAAAAATTCCACTTATCTTGAAAATGACAGCACACCAAATTCCAGATTTCACAGGATGCTTGAGACTATTATTCTCTTACAGTCAAGTAAGGTATTTCATTATAAATTGTTACTTTTATTTTTTAATAGCTATACGTGTACATGTACCATATTTCATGTCCGTCCAGTTGATAAGGCAGCTTGCAGCAGCTTTTTATTTCTTATAAAAAAAAAAGAGACCTCACTTCTAAAGAACGAACAACTGTAGGAAACTCTGTAAATTTAACTGTTGTGGTTAAGTACTGTGAGGTCAGCTCTAAACGTTGTTCCCTTTTTTTTGAGAGAGAGAGGGGCAGCAAATATGATAATTTTTGTGCTCCATTCAGAGTGTGTGACCCACACTGTCATGACTGTTCCAGACCACCAGAGGGGAATCATTGCAGAGGGCAAGGTCAGTTTCCTGGCCAGAGCTGTCGAGAAAGGAATCTGTACATGTATGCATACATACGTGTACATGTACATAAATACATGTACCGGTACTGGTACATGTACATGGGTGCTGAGCCTGACCAGTAATTCCCATAGGCACCAACAACTTGAATGACCCTCTTCTACATGTACATGTACTTTCTGTTCAAATTTTAGGGGGCTATCAAATGATCGATACTCGATAGTCCTGAAGCCCATCGCCATTTTCTTAAAAAAAACCCAATCCCTCCACCCCATTGCAAAACAGGCCCAATTTCCTCCCAAATGTCTAAGAAACACAAGCTCAAAGACCAGTTTAGAGCTGTCTTCAACTACCGGGTACAATCCCCCAAGTGCAGTGGTCGCAAAACTCGCTATTATGAAGAGAAAAATTGGCAGTAAAAAAATTGTGATAATATCGTTTGGCCGGCGTAGTCAATATATACATGTACATGTACATGGTCTATTCTTTACCCACATGTATTGCGATAACACAAGTTTGTCTGTCTGTATACACATACCCATGTACATGTATACTACGGTACAAACGTACATACACCATACACTCTGTATTTGTGTACTTTATATGCACAGATATATATGTATGGTCCAACCAAATGAGACAGCAATGTGTGCTGTGTGCATCATGTGTATGCCTCATGTTGGGCCTATGGGAATGGCTCAGTGTTTACAGTACCTGTTCCTGTGGAGTGTACAGGCCATGTTCATAAACCGTAATCCCGCTGTTGAAAATCTGCACGTAGACCAAAGCTTGAACCCATAGGAATGGCTGAGGCTTTACACAAATGAAAAAATATAATTTGTTTTTTATTTGAGTTGGCATAGGCCTATATGATCATGATGCATGTATCCTGTTCATGTGTTTTCTATTCCTTTCTCCATGGTTTTATTGACAGACTTCTTATTTTGGGCATGTTCCAACTAACGGTACCGGTACGTCAACAGATTGCTAGGGCTGTGCATCGATCGGAACCGGGTGCCCGAGTACCCGACTGTTGATGTCAGGAACCGGTTCCAGAACCGGTTCCCATCCGTGGGTGATTTTAAACCACGGGTAAAACACCGCTGTGTTCTGCGTCACATCACGCAGTATGTGCCGCGTCACATCACGCAGTATGTGCCGCGCGTGCCAATCTCCATATAAGGAGATTTTTAGCACTACGCGCGCGAGGCACATACCATGGACATTAGGGGCCACTAGGGGTGCTTCACAAAACATGAAGTAAAATTGTTGAACAAAAGTCGTTGAAATTTTGTAAATTTTTGACTTATTTTGACTACTTGACCGACAATGTACATAAATTTATGAATGGGAATAAACATGTTAATGGTTTTTTGTGTGTGCTGGTTTTAAACAAGTACCTGGTACATGTGTACCTTTAAACTTGGCTAGGGGCCTGGTCACGGAGAGTGTCCCTTGCGTTCGGCTTGGGTCATTATCACAACAAGGCACCTACCGGGTAGCTGGTTTTAAAATCAACCAAGCACATATTTATTCCCTTAGTAAAAATCGTCGAAATTTGGTGTGCACATGCGCAGTTGGAATTCAAATGTGGCTTATTGCTTTTGCACTGAGCTAAAGTTATGTATTTATTATTAACCATTAACTCAATTATTTATACACGATTTTATTGTATTCCAGTTTGGCTTGTAATGAAGGCATTAAAAATAGAACAGCCATTAATGTTTGATTGTGGTTGGAATCTCTGCTCGATTTATCATCCTTTAGTTTAAGCTGAAATGTGCAATTCATGCAATAGGCATAAGGACTGGATCAACGTTTGCTTGAAGTCTCAAGGTGGCTCCCTAGTTTTGTTTTGTTTGATTTTAATTGGTCATGTTCTGCAACACCAGGCCTCGCGAAATTTTTAAAAAATGTAGTTGCCCTTCGGGCAGGGGTTCTTGAAATCTGGTTGTCTGAATTTTATTTTCAGTTGCCCAATAAAGAACTTAAAAAAATTGCCCCAAACTTAAGGCCAAATCCTAATAATGTACATGGCTGCTTGCAGATTGAGATTTACCGCTGTTCTGTTTTGGCTGGTACCCGTTATTGCTTTATGCGTAGATTACCAACATCAAATGGTGCTGAAGCCGAGTCAAAATGTCGATATTATCATGATGATTGTTCAACGCTGTGCACATGTACATGTATGGGGTTCTGGAACTTTCAAAAATCCCATGGACTAAAAATAAAGTGTAAAAATGTGTGAGTATTGGTGAAAAAAGTCGGGCTGGCAACCTGGAACTTTTGGTTGTCCGACAAAATTTTTTGGTTGTCGCGGTACGTCGGGCAACTAATTTCGCGAGCCCTGGACACTAAGTCATGTACATGTAGGTGAGAACTCTTGTATATGTTAAGCGTTCTGGCAAAATGAGACAGAACTTGGCAGAGGTCGAAATGTAGATATATTTTGTGATTATTAGGAAAGAGAATAAAATTCCTTGTACAATACTGTTTGTTACACTTCCATCGGACATTCTGTTGACAAGTTATGGCTGTTCATACATGTAGTTCACATTTATGCACATGTCAAAAAAGTAAAATACCGGTACTGAGAAAAAAGGCCTTTAAAGTTTTGAGTTTTTTTAGTCGTGAAAATGAAAGATACCAATTGCTTTTCCTGAAAAACAGTTTTATTCCATGCTTTTTATACTTTTTCTTTAAAAGATGTGTAGTAGACATGCATGTCAATTATTACAAATATCAGTAAATCTGAAAATCGAAGGGAAAAACCTCATTCGGTTTTTGGCATTTTCTCCAAAAATACGGCCTGTGCCCAGTTCCGTCTTATTTTGGCAGCATGCCTCACATGAGCTTTAAACTCGGCAGGAAAATTTGTTAGAATTTTCTTTTCTAAAGATGATAACTTAGAACACAAGATACATGTAGTGTCCGTCTAACAAGATAAAGCTTTCTTTTTGTGCTCTTTCCACATGTGTAAAACTCGTATAAAAATTTCGACCTGCATGACTCATTTTTTGCTTAGTGGATTACACACAAAGTATGTATTAAGAGTTTGTTGCTGATTTATACAGTACATGTATACAGTACTAATGGGAAATCCTTATTCTGTCTGCCTCACCAGATACACGGTTCCTACTGATGATGAATATTGCCATCAGTCTTTGTATTTTTTCTTTTCTTTCCCCCATCTTTACCCGTTGTTCATTTAACCAGAATCTACGGAGAGCAGTGCCATGCTAATGCAGCAGCATCAGTACATGTACTGGTACTAGTGGTGCGATTAAGATTAAGATTTTTAAAAATTCAGTTCGAATTCCACAATTCGGTTTGAATTTTGGAAACTGGATATTCGAAACCAACCTTAAAATAATTAGGCCTTCCATTTTTTGTGGCACAAGCCAAAAAAACCCAACTGGAACAACATCCCCCAATTGGCTCCATGATCCCTGAATCATGCATTCACTCGCTAGCGGTCTTCTTGGTTCATGAATAGCCTGCCCATTCGTCTGATTAGAGAGTTCCCACCCATTTTTTTTTAACATTACAGCTCTCAGGGTTTTTTTTTTGAAAGGCCCAGTGGTCATTCAATACCGCAAACTACATGTATGCCAAATCATTGCTTGCGGCAATCCGTGCGGCACCTCACTCGTTACTTTTTTGATGGCATGACTGTGAGCTGATTGGGAACAACCGGTGAAATCGGATTTTATGACCGTTATTCGATTTCCAAAATAAATTACCGGTAGGATAACCGGATTTTTAAATCTCCGATTTCCGCCACCATAAATCAGTAGTCATTCTGAATCAATTGAAGAAAATTTTGTGTGCACTCTGGGACCAGCTTGTCTTGTTTTCCATTTCTCCAAAAGACATGTCTACCGAGAGTGTGATTGGCACTGATGTTTACTTCTCTTTGTCCTCTTGAATTTCCATCAGAATCTACCGAGAGTAGTGTCCAGCCAATGCAGTACCACCCCCTTGCCTGCAACCAGGAGAATCAGCCCCACGAGCGAAGCGGAAGAAAGGTAGGACTAAGGGAATTTTTTTTTTTTTTTTACCCTGCTCTCTGTGGCCGAGGGCAGAATTTCCACCACATGGTAAAAGGAAACCTGGTCGGCGGACCACGTCGTACTTGAGATCCATCCAGGGCCTTCTTAGGGATCCTGGTACATGTAGATTTGCTGCAGCCACATGAAATGTTTTAGGCCTTTCACGCTATCGTCTTGCCTACCGTTTTAAAACCAACATGGGTCCAGTGTAGGCAGGACTGGGTCCCATCGGTAGGCGAGGCATACCGTTCACACCAGGTTGTACTTGGGTCGACTGTAGATTTCAGCTTTCCTACCCAGGTAGAGCCTTTCAACCCTGATCCCGTTGCCCGTTTAAAGCGCCAGACCTGTGTAAAAGCCATGTTGGATTCTTGTTTGTGTGAAAGGGGTTCCCAAAATTTTCTACCCGAGTCCAACGCAGAGATTTGGATAGTATGAAAGGCCCCTTTAATAATAATAATAATAATAACAATAATAATTACCCTGGATTGGACATTTGGGAGACATCCCCATAGACTTGTGTACAAAATTTTTCAAACTTAAATGTGCCCTAACCCAATATTCCCTTGTCCTTTTTCCACGAATTTTGGTATGTTTACTAATTAGACCAGGAGCAACAAAAATAACATAATTGCGACGGTAAAATTTTGCCTCTAAAGGGGGGCTGTGACATTAGGGCTCCCTAATGACAGGTGTCTCCCAGCGTTCAAAGAAATTACGATAACGTGTCTCCTTAATGGTACCTTTACACGTATAAACAGCATTTACACGTATAAGGCACACTTTATTTGTGTAACATTCAAAGGCAACAGGCTTGGTGGAGAACAGAAAATTCAATTTGGGCTCAACATTGCAGCTGTTCAAATGAAGCTTGTGGTTGCCTTCTCTGCAGATGATGGCTTTCGGTAACAGTTATGTAACACATAAGGTATCACATAGGCTTATAGGTTATCCCCGAATCAGGGTTTGTATTCAAGTCCAACACAAGTCCTTTCATAATAAAACCAGTCACAAGTAACTGGATGAACAATGACAAAGGAATGCTTTTGTAACAGTTCATTTGAATAGCTAGTGACTTGACTTACGACTGTAAGACTTGCGGGGGATCAGTGATGGACTTGTGATGGACTTGCAGGGACTTGAATACAATACTGCCCCGATGACTGAAGAGCACTTCATGATTTCATGGCCTGAAGGCACTCGGGTGCCATCTTGTGGGGCCTAAATGTAAAACAAATCTGTGCACTGTCCTGTATGCACAGTTTAAATTTGTATAGAGTGCTGTGACTGCATGGCTACATGTTAAAGTGTGGTGCCGAGCTGGCAGCCATGTTGGGAGTCCAAACTGAATTTTTCAAGGTTTCTCCTAAAGCTTTCAATATAGCACTACTCAGCGATCACAGCAGTGAACATATTTTCAAGGAAAAACCACAGATCTACCGGTATGGTCTCTCTTTTTTTTTCTGTTTTCTTTTTTTAGAGCAAAACCTTCTTGTGGTTTCTGTTTTATAGGCTGTGAAGCCATTGGTTGTTCGTGGGAGATAAGAATAGACTTTCTTTCCAGCGGTAGAAAAATTAGACATGGACAATGTAAATTGTACATGAAGAATTTTTTTCTGACGGGGAGCTGCCAGATGTTTTGAAGGGTCATTGTTCCTACAATGACACAGTGTCTTAATTTTGAACCTCTTGCTAGGTCTGTTCATGGACAAGAATTTTTTGGCTGTAGACTACATGTATATGTGACCAGCTCCACAAAAAAGGGTATTATGTCGCAAAAAAGTGAAATTGAGTTATATATGCATGGTTGGAAAGCCCACAACGTATGCTTTCATTTGGTATAAAATAATAGAGCTCCATGGCCCCTCCCGTTCTGGAGATGACGTATTTGCACACTTCCTTGGAGTTCGAATTGTATAACTGAGAAAACAGGCTTTGAAATAGCTGGCTCTGTTGTAGAACAACAGAACGATGCACACAAAATGGTCGTTTTTTCCCACTTTATTCATCAAAATCAACTTTTCTGTGAATGAAGCCTGAAACTGTAGGTATTAAAGATGTCATTCATGACAAAAAATTAAAATCACATTTTGACAAGATTTTCACCAACATGGAGCGGGCCATTACACGATAATGCACAGCGCGACTTAATACCCTTTTTTGTGGAGCCGGTCACATATGTATGACACACATTAGTGATGCAAAGTTCTAAACTTGTGCACATTGTACAGGGTACACACATACGTACATGTCTGTGTAGGAAGGAAACCACTAGTGTTCTTGCTTGTCGGTTTCCCTTTTGCCCTGAATCAATGAAAGTTCCTTCCATGTCTGATACCCATCCACCAAATGGATAAATCGGTCTGCTGTTCATAGTAGTCCCAATGTGTTTTAACACTCAGTTTGTGAGCCTGTAGCCTTGGCATACATGTACATGTACCGTACCATGTTCACGTGTGTACGGTATAAGGGACTCAATATCCATAGTTTGTGTACAGTTGTAATTTCTTTGTCCAACAAAAATCGGTTTCCAGGCTTTTAAAACTTGAAGCAATTTCACGCCCATTGGCAAAACCATGCACGAATGTGTCAAACATTCTATGGCTATACATGTTTTCAGGTTACGGAATTTTAAACACAACCACCGTTTTAAAGTTCTTTCCACGGATCACAAGAAGGTAAGTGTTCTTTCAGCAAAACGAAAACAAATCACATTGGGATGTGTGTGAATTGTTTTCGTTTTGCTTAATTAAAGAACGCACACCTTTTTCTGTGATCCGTGTACAGAACTTTAAAACGGTGGTTGTGTTTAAAATTCCATAACTTGAAAAGTACATACCCGGTAAGTGATTTGAATGATTCTTGTACTAAAAGAAAGCTTATGAATTGGGCTTTTATTTTCCTAGATTTTGAAAGTGCTACATGCAGAACTTCACTAAAACAATGGTTCCAACATTTGGGTTTCGTTTTTTTTACTCACCCTGTACCGGTACATATAAGCTACGGTTTGCAATTGCCACTAGGAAAAATCTGTATATTAATTATAGTAGAACTTCATCGTCCAAAAATAGTGTTGTCCAATGTGGCAGTCTATATTGGAATAGTCTTCATGACTCTTTTAAATCATCACCTACTCTCTCTATTTTTGCTAGAAAACTAAAAACTCATTTGTTAATTGCATACTAAAAAATGTAATAGGGATAATAACGGCCTTGATTACTGTCTTACACCGGTGTTTGTGCTCTGTCTTTCCATGTATGTCTGTCACTTGTCTGTCTGTCCATAGGCTGGGGAACAAAAGCTGATGCTTCACCCTGGACCTAGATGCTGCCATTTAGTTAATGTTCACTATTGTAAATATATCTAGTATGTATTGTCATACCTCTGTCTTTATACTGTATTTTCATTGGCCCAGGACGATCACCTGACCGGGCGATAAATATGCATGGCACACTCCCGTTGTATATCACATTGTGATATCACATGCATGTAGACTAGTCCCCGCCCCACAGTCCAAACCATTATGCGCGGACCGCGTTTAAACCAGACTATACTTGTACTCACTGGTACCCCGCAGTACTTTCACGTTCCACAATATAATGTATAGCAGTGAGGGAGCAGTGCATTTGCAGACGCTATTTACTTTAATTTGGCGGCCAGGGACTGCATCGTTGTCACTACAAACCAGGTTTTTATTCATTGTCCCTACCACTATAAAATATGCCAGGGGATAAGATTTTTTTTATTAAACTTGTAAAACCTTTACCCCAAATTTCCCTGAACTTAAGCTTGTTTTAATGCCCCTACATCTATATATGTTGAAAGAATTTTTCAAAGATTCCTTCAGTTTGCCACCCTTAATTTCCCCCAAAACAAGTAAAACACATCATCAAGACAGAGGTATGACAAAACAGTTGTTGACTGATGTGATGTGGGATATGACGATTTGAACACCCTCGGGGACGCATAGCACTATGCGTCCCTCGGGTGTTCAAAACGTCATATCCCACATCACATCAGTCAACAACTGTTAATTGTCAATTTGAATATACACTGTATAACATTATGTATTATGTATCATCCTTATGCAGCATCGAAATAAATGTATCGAATTGAAAAATTAAAAAAAATAGACTTTATTAGCGGTCACTCCATCATGAAAGTAAGTGAGTAAGACGTACTACAACTTGCACCGCGCCCTGCCCGTACGTGTATTTCACTCACTGTGCTGTGCTGAGTGTAATACACCCAGGCCAGCTACACCCATCCTGGACGGTAATGCCGGTATGCAGTGCGCTGAGCACTTCTCCGGCACATGACTACTACCCCCTTCCCGTCAATGAGAAAATCTCTCCGGCTTTGGAAATCTCCGTCAGGCTTGGCTGTACTGATAAGCATACAGGCCTGCTGACATGTGCTAGACACATTGTTCATTGTTGCAAAAAAAGCCTTTAAAGCCACAATCGACAACCCCCCCCCCCCCCCCCAAAAAAGAAGAAGATTGATGAGCATGTACGCCGTGCTTATGAAATATGTGTTCATGGGCCTGCTGTAAATCAATTCTGGTTCTGACAATTTCAAAAAGTGATATACCCGGTGATATAAAAAAGTGATACGTTTTTGTTAACCATGTACATTTTCAACAGTTTTTTTTTTGTGAAGGGGGGGGGTGTTGTACCGTACATGTGTAGGGATATGGAGGAGTCTAAAATCTTTAAAATATCCACAGGCTGCCAAGTGACATCTGCCTATTCTCCAATTTTCAAATTTCTATTTTGAAAATAAATGTATTTGTATAAATTACCATTTCTTCGTGGACATTCTAACAGTTCTGTCCTTTTTTTAAAAACTTGTGAATATTGAGTATTCACCGTTGTGCACAGTTGGTTTTTAGCAGGTGCAGGTACATACATCATACACAAGTTTAGGCATGAATGTTATGTGAGTGTAAATGTATACAAATTGAATAACATTACTATTCACCTAATGAACATACAATGCCAAGCGGCTCTCAATGAAACTGTACCAGTAGGCCTGCATATGCATAGTATGGTACAACTACAAGTTACATGTAAATAAAGACAAGT